TTCCCCGCTCCCTTTAATATCCCACCCAGTCTAATCCCACTCCCCTCGCTAACTCCCCGCACCCTTTAATATCTCACGCAGTATAATCCCACGCTCGCCCTCACTCCCTGCTCCCTTTAATATCCCACCCAGTCTAATCCCACTCCTCTCGCTCAGTCCCCGCTCCCTTTAATATCCCACCCAGTCTAATCCCACTCTCCCCTTCAGTCCCCTCTCCCTTTAACATCCCACCCAGTCGAATCCCACTCTCTCCCTCACTCCCCGCTCCCTTTAATATCCCACCCAGTCTAATCCCACTCTCCCCCTCACTCCCCGCTCCCTTTAATATCACACCCAGTCTAATCCCACTCTCCCCCCTCACTCCCCGCTCCCTTTAATATCCCACCCAGTCGAATCCCACTCTCTCCCTCACTCCCCACTCCCTTTAATATCCCACCCAGTCTAATCCCACTCTCCCCCTCACTCCCCGCTCCCTTTAATATCACACCCAGCCTAATCCCACTCTCTCCCTCACTCCCCACTCCCTTTAATATCCCACCCAGTCTAATACCACTCTCCCCTTCACTCCCCTCTCCCTTTAATATCCCACCCAGTCTAATCCCACTCTCCCCCTCACTCCCCACACACTTTAATATCCCATCCAGTCGAATCCCACTCTCCACCTCACTCCCCGAACACTTTAATATCCCAACCCAGTCTAATCCCACTCCCCCCGCACACTCCGCGCTCCCTTTAATATCCCACCCAGTCTAATCCCACTCTCCCCCTCACTCCCCACTCCCTTTAATATCCCACCCAGTCTAATCCCACTCTTCCCCTCACTCCCCACACACTTTAATATCCCATCCAGTCGAATCCCACTCTCCACCTCACTCCCCGAACACTTTAATATCCCAACCCAGTCTAATCCCACTCCCCCCGCGCACTCCCCGCTCCCTTTAATATCCCACCCAGTCTAATCCCACTCTCCCCATCACTCCCCACTCCCTTTAATATCCCACCCAGTCTAATCCCACTCTCCACCTCACTCCCCGAACACTTTAATATCCCACCCAGTCTAATCCCACTCTCCCCGCGCACTCCCCGCACCCTACTCCCTGCTCCCTTTAGTATCCCACCCAGTCTAATCCCACTCTCCCGTCATTCCCTGCTCCCTTTAATATCCCACTCAGTCTAATCTCACTCCCCACTTCACTCCCTGCTCCCTTTAATATCCCACCCAGTCTAATCCCACTCTCCCCTCACTCCCCACTCCCTGTAATATCCCACCCAGTCTAATCCCACTCTCTCCCTCACTCCCCGCTCCCTTTAATATCTCACCCAGTCTAATCCCACTCTCCCCCCTCACTCCCCGCTCCCTGCAATATCCCACCCAGTCTAATCCCACTCTCACCCTCACTCCCCGCATCCTTTAATATCCCACCCAGTCTAATCCCACTCACCCCCTCGCTCCCCGCTCCGTTTAACATCCCACCCAGTCTAATCCCACTCTCTCCCTCACTCCCCGCTCCCTTTAACATCCCACCCAATCTAATCCCACTCTCGCCCTCACTCCCCGCTCCCTTTAATATCCCACCCAGTCTAATCCCACTCTCGCCCTCACTCCCCGCTCCCTTTAAAATCCCACCCAGTCTAATCCCACTCTCCCCTTCAGTCCCCTCTCCCTTTAATATCCCACCCAGTCTAATCCCACTCTCCCCCTCACTCCCCACTCCCTCTAATCCCACTCTCCCCTACAGCCTGCACCCTTTAATATCCCACCGATATGGGTGGAGCTCTATATGGTGGGTACAGCTGTGTGAAGTTTGGTTTGTGGATTAATAATTCTAATTAATTTAGCTCCTGCCCTGTCTCGTGACCTATCTTTCATATTTGATTGTCTGTACTGCCCTTGACAGGCTTTGCGTGTAAGTTAATGATTTACTGGGCCTCTTGTTGGGTCTCCTCATTGATGTGTTCCTGGGCTGGGACAAAGTTGGCCATGAACAGGTCCAGGTAGGGGGCGATGGAGATGGGCTTGTTACCGACCATCTCCCCGCTTTCCACAGTTACAGTCGAGCCTTGGTGTCCTTGCAGAGGGAGCACTTGGAATCCACATGCAGGAAAGGAGGCAGGGGTGGGGTGCGTTATTTTTCCCCACAACTCTATTTTAATTGAAGCCCCCCTGCCCCCTCCCCTTTTCCCTTCCTCCCTGTTTTATTATTGTTGGCCTGCCCCTGATGGGCCGTGCATGTACTTTGTGAATTTAATCAGAGCCCCTCCTACCCCCAGGGGATTTGGTGATGGTTATACAAAAAAACCCTGAGTTTTAAGGAGTGGTAATGTCCCTCCCTCTGAGGCCAGGGGACCTGGGTTCAAGTGCAAACAGCTCCAGAATTGTGTCATAACCATCCCTGAACACAGAGATTATAAAATATCAAGAGCTGGGTTCTTTCCAGTGGACGCAGTTTGTTATTTGTTAACTGGGTGAAAATTAATCCCAGGATTGTAAACCTCATACACCAATGTCACAGCGCATGAAGGAACGGGGCTAGCCTTCCTGAGCCAGCCTGAACCCAGTCTATCTGCTCACACCCTGGGCTAACTAACCCATTGCAAACCCTGGGAATGGCTCAGCCAGATCCTCATCAGCAAATTCCACCCTGGACAAATTATGGGAATCAGTTTACAGAAAGGTGAAGGATCAGTGAGCCTTAGCATTAGCTGTTTGTTGCATTAACCATTTGCTGATTTCAGGAGGCTATGTTTGGGCCTACAACACCCAGCTGTTCTTCAACCTGTACCACCCCGGTGTGGATGTGGGTCGCTGGTTGTCATGGATACCACTGGTTGGAGGCTGCCTGGGGGCCCTCTCTGGAGGGTACATCTCAGACCAATTAGTGAAACGAAAAGGATTCTATGCCCGGGTGTGGGTGCTGGTCATCAGTCAGGTGAGTGAATCTGTGACCTTGCCACAATCTGCCATCGCATCCATTGGCTCCCCAGACACAATCTCAACATCTACTCATCTCCTACATGGGGGAAAACCGGCACCACACACTCACATTGCCTGGGGTTTCACCAGAAACAGGATCAACACGATAGCTTGGAGCGCCGCACTATCGGAGGGTCAGTGCTGAGGGAGCGCCGCACTGTCGGAGGGTCAGTGCTGAGGGAGCACCGCACTGTCGGAGGGTCAGTGCTGAGGGAGCGCCACACTGTCGGAGGGTCAGTGCTGAGGGAGCGCCGCACTGTCGGAGGGTCAGTCAGTGCTGAGGGAGTGCCGCACTGTCGGAGGGTCAGTGCTGAGGGATCGCCGCACTGTCGGAGGGTCAGCGCTGAGGGAGAGCCACACTGTCAGAAAGTGAAGGTGTGAGGCAAGGCTGAGGATGTTGAGGGATGGAGGACGGTGGAGGGTGGATGCCTGGATCTGGAAATGAGTGAGGGAGACGGGGAGGATCCGCAGTGTGTAAAGATTGAGTCTGGGAAAGTCGGATAGACAGCACACATTCCCTGCACCTCGCCCTCAAACACATCCACAAAGTGGGCTAGGAGAGGAGGAACCACAGACAGAAAGGCCTGTTCCACCCACCTCCACCACCCTCCCCAACCCCCCACACCCCCAGACGATGAATTGCCCTGAGGTGAGCTCCAAGTGTGGTCCCAAGTGGGGAGACAGGGTCAATGTTTGTTAAAGTTCCTTCCCTGGCTCAGTTCAGACCCTCCCTCTCACTTCCCTGGGGCTTAGCCTGTGCTGCTTAACCCAGACTTTAAAAAAAAATGTTATTAGTTAGCTCTGCTGACTATTACTTTTTAGTGGTCATTTTTTACAGGTCATTTGTTAAAATTATAAATGGATTTCTTTGGAATTGTTTTTAAATTCAGGTTTTCTGTTTTGTCAAATCTTATCTTTTGGGAATTTGCTCACTGTCCCTGGGGAAGAAGTGAACTGAAATTTGTCGTCACTGCCCCTAAACTTTCAAAGTGTCTTTTTCAGGACAGTACTCAACCCACCCTCCCCAATCCACCCCTGCCCCCTCCACCCTCCCCACGGCGGTCTTTAGCCTCCTGCTGATCCCAGCCTGGAGCCTGTGTCATTGAGCTGTCTGAGTTTGTGAGAAGTGACCTGGGAACCTGATGGTGACCCTTTGACCTATGACCTGGTGACCCCTCGCTGCTGAACCAGTTTAAGGATCACAGGACACAGTGATCTGCCTTTGGTAAATGAGCTTACGTTTGAGATACTGGGGAGGGGGCGGGGTTGGGGGGAGGGGGTGATTTCATGTTCCTGATAGAGACCCTGTCCATTGACCCCACGAATGGATCTGGATGATCTGCACCACAGCAGAAGCTGTTTGGTGGAGGCTATGATTTGGAAGTGCTTCTTTGTGGCTGTTTCAGGAGATATAGGGTTTTTTTTATGTGGGGGGGAGTGGGGTGGGGGGGTGATGGCAGTGTGTTTGTTGGTGTCTAATCCTCTCTGTTTAATACAGGTTGCAGCTGCTCCTTTTGTGGCTGGAGCTCTCTGGCTCCATCCTCCATATTGCTTCCTGTCGTTGATCCCTGCCAATATCATGGGTGAGTCTCTGCTCCATATTCACTTACTGCATCCCCAGAGAAATGTGCTGCTGGGGTAAATGTAGCACATGTGGGCAGGAAACTGCCCCTCGGAGGAGGGCAGGGTAGTGGTTCAAAACAGAAGTTTGGGATGTTTCCAAATTATGGACCTGCTCCTGGAGGCACAATTGCTTGTCCAGATTTTCTCTGTGGTGGACACTTCATCAATAAAGGGGATGGGTGGGCTCTCAAACTGTGAGCCTTCCTGCTTAAGGCAGCCATGACAGCAGAAGGTAAGTCAGGGAGACAGAGATTCTAAATGAAACCTGCCTCTCTTCAACTTCTTTATACTAGAATTGGCCACCCTGAAAGGGGCCATAATGAATGGTCTATAATGACTGAGGCAGGAGGTGTGCATTATCCCTCTTATTCCACTGATCCACACATCGCAGCACCAAAGAAAAATGTACTTCTCTCAGTTACCAAGGTGACCAATTAAATATTATTTCTATAACAGGCCTGTACAAACAAAACTTATTCATCAAAGATGTAATAATAACTAATCAACATTCACACTCTGTTATATGGAAGTGTAAATACTGATCCTTCCAAATAACCTCAAACACACACACATACATTTCAGGAAAAGGAAAAGAAAGCAAATGTTCACTTTTTAAAAAAGCTTTCTGGACATTTGGGATCATTTTGAAGGCAAAATGGATGAAGCATAGAATGTTCCAAAATATATCACTCGGATGTTCTGGCACAGTAGTCGAGATGCTTATCATACACAGTAGTCTCTGGAGTCTTGACAGACATAGCTTGCTCAGGACATAGAGTATTGAAAAGTTCCTGCAATCACTCTTCCAGAAGAACAAACAGATTTCACCCTGGACGTAAAAAGAGAGCTCTTTTCAGAAAGAGGAGAGATCAGCTAGGTAGCTGTTCCTTGCAGGATTCTTGTCCCCAACTAGTTCCAGATACTCGGAACACTCTCATCCAGCCAGTGTTGAAACAACTCCAGGAAGGTTGGCAGCAGCACAAGCTGTTAGCAATAATCATGTAATTTCTAGGAAGCTGTGTTACGGAATTCTTCAGTGTCCACAGTGACCTTTCACTGACCTCTTTTAAAGAAACCATTCCAGGTATTTCCACAAAACTGGAATAAGTCCATTTTCCACAATTCTTCAAGATTTTAAGTACTTCAAAAAATATGAAGCAAGAAATGTCTGTGAAACAGACGTGAACTACCTGTAGTGTGTGTGAGAGAGAGAGCATGTGTGTGTGTGAGAGTGAGTGTGCGTGTGTGAGAGAGTGAGTGTGTGTGAGAGAGTGAGTGTGTGTGTGAGAAAGTGAGTATGTGTGAGAGAATGAGAGTGAGTGTGTGTGAGAGAG